GAAAAAGTACTTGACCAAATCTATATTCATTTAATATAAATCTTTCCAGTAGAAAGAGATAATATTTTCAACTTGATGAAGAATATGTACAAAACCTATAGCTAACATCACATCTAATAGTGAGAGATGAGCAGCTCCTCTACTTTATGGGATGACTTGGTGTTATATTTCAAAACTAAACTCCACTCACACCGTATAATCTAGAAATCACACTTATTCATATTTACTCAACAGAATCAAAATCTCATTTCCAAATATCAATATGGATATTTGTGATAGTTTTATGATCTCTTTCAGTATGCAAATGGATAAATAAAGTATGGTATATTCAGATAAATATTTAACACTAGAAAGAAATGAGCTATCATGCCCTGAAAAGACCTGGAGAAAGGTTAAAAGCATATTATGGAGTGGAAGAAACCAATATGGAAAGACTATATACTCTAAAGTCTAATTATATAATATTCTGGAAAAGTCAAAGCTAAAGAGACTATAAAAAGATCAACTGTGATAAGGGAGTGAGAGAAGAACTGGAAAAATACAGAGAATTTTTAGGCAGTGAAATGATTCAAGTGACACTATGATGATGAATAGATTCCATTGTAAATTTTCCAAATCTAAAGAATGTACAACATCAAGAGTAAAACTCATGTAAACAATGGACTCTGGGTGATAGTGATGTGTTAATATAGGGGCACATATTTAAGCAAACATGCCACTCTGGTGGGCGAACGTCAACAATATGGTGGCCATGGATGTGTAAACAGTAAGCAGTTATACGGGAAATCTCTACTTTCTACTACTCAAGGTCAATATTCTTAGAAATCCAAAACTAATTTTAAAAATCAACTCTTTTAAAAATCCAAAAGTCATAATTTTTTAGTTGCACTAAAAATAAGCCTTGTATAGCAAAAATAGCATATGCAAAGTAAAGAAGACTAGTTAGAAAAAAAATACTTTTAGTTCATATCCCAAAGAACTAATCTCTGACCACAGAAAAAACTTCTAGAAATTGTTTAAGAATCTGATCAGTAAAGCAAAAGGAAAATGAGAAAAGAAATATTCAGAAATACCTTTTCTTTCCTTTTCAAAATGTTTATCATAGTAATTTTATTAGTTATTCACATATTAGTTGTACAAAATAATGTGCATCACTATGACTTTTTCACACATGCATATAAAATGCTTTGATTATATCACCCACCCACTGTCCTTTTTTGTACACCCCTGCCTCCCTCTGGACTCCTTTCCTTCCTTAATAGTTCACTTCCTACTATCATGTCATCATCTTTCCCTCTAGATTTCACTTATGAGAGAAAGTAAGTAGTACTGGTTTTTCTAAGTTACTTCACTTAACATGATGATCTCCAGTGCCATTCATTTACTATTATTTATATATGTTATTATTTATAATAACATGATTTTGTTCTGCATTGTGGCTAAAGAATACTCCACTGTGTATATATACCACGTTTTTTGTTTATTTATCTGCTGATGGATCGTTCGTTACGCTGATTCTATAACTTGGCAATTGTGGCTAATGTTACAATATACACGTAAACATAAGTACACACACCTGCAGGCATAGTTACTATAGGCTGACTTTGAGTCTCTGAATTATAAATCTAGCAACTCTATGGCTAGATCATATGTAGTTCTATTTTTTTATTTTTTTGAGGAACCTGTTTTCTATTGTGGTTCACAATATATATTCCCATCAACAGTGTACAGTATCACAGTTCCTTTTTCCTCATATCCTTCCCAATTTTACTTTTTGCTTCATAAAAGCTATTCTAATTAGTTTTGATTTTTTTGATCAGTGACTGTTAAGCTAAGAAAGCATGCCTAACTTCATTCATAACAAAACTCAAACTGAAACTGACAGGCCATTTTTAATGTTTAGAGGCATATAAAATTTATACAAGAAAAATAATATATAGCTTACAATAAATGCATACATATGTGTTAACATCAATTTCACTTTGGGATTGATCCTACAGATATACCTGTGCACATACAAAACAATATACATACACTTTTATGCATACATATGCATATATATGGTTACTTACTTTCATAGCAAGAAAATTGAAACAATTTAAAAATCTTAAAAATGGAAGGCTAATTACACTATATCTAATCAATAATATGCTATTAATTGCATTAGAAGAAAGTAAAAGTTATGTATATATTGCTATAAAATATTATCAAAATACCTTGGAAAAGGAAGCAATTTAGAAAATACTGTAAAATAAATCACCACACATATAAAATGGATAAAATGGAAGCATGCTGATAAGTTTCCTTCCCTATGGAAGGAGGATTGTTTTTGGGTACAGGACAGAGAAAATATAAATGTGAAAGATTTTTCAACTTATATCACTTTATCCACTATGTGTTTAAATCAGAATATCTACTCAAATTTTAATTTAGATTTAAAATAATCTGTAATAGAGTATTCTATATTATAATTTAAAATAAGTTATAAACAGCACATTTTAAATTTCAAAACAACTGTTATTCATAACAAATAGTTCAAATCTATCTTTAATGAAGACTGGCCAATGACCCAATTGACTTTCAATTCTCTTTTTTAGGTAGAATTGAACTTCTTTTAACATATCCAGCTTAAGGATTCGAAAGAAACTTAGGCCAAGAGAGTCTGTAAAGAACCACAGTAATCATCATGTTCAACATTCTAAGCAGTGCATTAATCTTTTAAAAAATCTACAGCAGGTTATCTCTCAGACTCCATTTCACCCCCTGAATCCATTAACACACACACACACACACACACACACACACACACACAATTACTTCAGTGGAGCCTAGCCTAACCTGAGACACTATAAAAATTGAAATGTGCTTCCCTATCGTGGTACTATTTATCCCTAGTTTTTTTTTACTAAGACATAATAGACTAAATGTTAGTTTCTTTCTTTCACATGGCGTCTAACATAGTACTTCAAGGATTCTAACAAAATTACTTGGCTCACATATGAATTTTCTCTTTTCTAGGATAAGTTTTTCTAGTTCCTCTTCATATCCCAGGTATTCTTCTAAGGATGTACTTTAGGCTGTCCACAAAATAAAAAATGTTAAATAAAACTACATGAAAGCACATTGGAATCAACAGAGTTAAGCAAATAAAACTCAACAGCAATATACCTCTAAAAATGTAAAAGTCTAGTCTATTGTGACCAACAGAAACAAGTGGGAGAACCACTTCCCACATAGTAAACACTGTATCTATTAATTCATCCTAAAACCCAATTAACTCATCTTGGCAGTCACATCAACTAAATCACATCTGCTTATAATCAACAAAAACTTCTAAAACATTCTTCCATGTTCTTCATTGAGCCATATTTTATCTTACTAAATTTATTTGGTCCACTGTTTCAGTTGATTGTCTTTTTTTTTTTTTTAAATTGACTCCTTTAACCCATAACTATATAGCTCCTTTCTTTTTGTTATATTCCCTAATATAATAATGAATTCCCCAAAGTCATCATCCAAGGCAATATAAAAATATTTATCAGTTCAGGATTAATAAAGAATCCTAAATCCTACCATTATGTATTCATTTTCAGTTTGATACACTTTATCAGTTAACATTCTGTAGGGCAATTGATTTTATTATTAATTTTCCCAATTAATTTTCAGTTAATTTTGCAAGCAAATTTGTCTTCAGACTACTATATTACCAATGAATACATATTTTTCTAATATAAATAAAAACTGGCAAGTAAAAATTATCTAATGGCAATTGGAAAACAATTTTATGCAAAATTAAATTTTAGAAATTTAATTAGAATACATATAGCCTTGTAAAGATTAAAGGAAATGAAGAGATCAGCCTAACATCAAGAATGCTTCATATACAGTCAAAACTAACTTTTGTAAATACAGGATGGCTTTGATAACTTATCCATTATAATAAATGTCACTGGAAAAACACTTGGATTCCAGAGTTTAGGAGTGTTTTGTTTACCTTTTTCACATTCAAGTTAGACGCTAGCCTTTTCATTCTAAATTGTGTATCAACTGAAGATGAATACAGGATTTTTACTAGGCAGGAAACCAGCCAATTTTCTACTCAGGAACACAGCAACCACAATTGTATACAGAGTTGCCCTGACCTCCAGTCTCCATCTGAACACTCCCAGAAAGGGCAGAACCAAGGCACTCTCAGGCAGGTTCCAGAGTGAAGCAGCCAGTGACTAGTGGGTGCTTATCTCTAGGATTGGGTGTATATTTTCCTCTTTTCTCAGAGAAAAATGTAGAACAATTTTTCAAGAAAGTAAGATGATTTATTCTAGGCACAGATGCTTTTTCAAATGCACAAAGGCATAATTTTAAGGAATTCTAATTACATATATGTAAAAGATATTATCAGGGAAAGACTAAAGAGTATTGTCTCTCTTTGCATCAACACTCTGTCAGAAACACCTACCTCAAATTTCTTGGGTGATATCAGCAGCACCACTCATGTTTCAGAAACAAGAGCTCCCCAAACTGTATGACAGAACCACAACAGACAGGGTTCAATCATCTGTCCTACATGATACACCCTGTGGGAAGCACTGGTATTATATACTATGCAAACATCCTTTCATGGTCTCTTCCATAAGCACAGGCACAGGTTGAGGCTTTTTAATTTGAAAAGTACAAACCCCAAATTATTCAGATTTGAGATAATCTGGGGTTTCAAATATTCAGATTGGAGATGCTCAAACTATAAATTCTATGCAAATACTTAAAAAAAAACTGAAGTCTGAAGTCTGAAACATTCCTTTTTCCAAACATTTTAGATAATATATACTTATCCTATGTTTGGGACAGTAAATATAATCATCTAAGTCATAAATACCACAACTATTTAACCATAAAATCTAGTGGCCATGTTGAGGCTGATTAGATAGAAGCAAATATTCATAACTTCCAGAAAACATAGGAGGGTGCTGAAATGAACCTTTTCTGACTCTTTCCTCTTCCAGCTGGCTGAAATTTGATGCACCTATTGGACCTGTCACCTTGGTCATAAAGACACTGGAGGAACAAGATCAAAAGAGCTGAGACTACGTGCTTTGGAGAAGCAATGCCAACAACGCCAACCTAAACTACCCATCTCTCCTTTAAGTTAAGAATCATCTCTATAAGAACAGGTTACTTTATTTGGGATTTATTAGTCATATGTAATAAATACCAATATAGAAAAAGCCCAATGAGGGACCCAGCCAGAGGGAAAATGTCATAGAGTACTTGCTGGTAAAGTTTATCTTACTTCAAAAAAATATTCTTTCCATAAGTTTTTTTTTTTTTTTTTCAGATGCAAAGTTCCTTATTCAATGAATCTATCCCAATGCTGGATAAACATGTGAGTCTACGTGCTGGTGGTAAACTGAAAATAACATTGTTTTGGCATACTGAATCCTATTAATCCACAACATTACAAGGAAAATTTAAAAGCCTCAAACATACAACAGTGCTTTAACATATTTTATAATGAAATGTATATTAAGGGGTGAGTATACATTTTTTCATCTTTCCACTTTTGAGACAAAATATCTGATAAAACACAATTTAAAAGAGAAAAGATTTATTTCGGCATACTGCTTCAGAGGTTTCAGCCTATGGTTAGCTACATCCACAACAGAAATGGCATGACAGAGTAAAGCTGCTTATCTCATGTCAGCCAGTAAGCACACAGAAGAGAAGAGACCTGGATAGAAGGACCAGGGACAGTCACAACCCCAATGACCCTCCTCCTTTAATTAGGCCCATCTCCCAATAAGCACACTAAGCTGTGAACTCATCGATAGATCCACTCCTGAAGTTAGTGCCCTTGTGAACTAATTTCTTTTCATGTACTACCTTCTAAAGTTGTTCCACTGGAGATCAGATCAAGCTCTCAATAGATGAGTCTTTGGGATATTTCACATTTCAACTATGAACAAATAGGCTCCCAGTTGGTGTCACTCAGCTACTATATGAATAAGTTTTACCTACATTTTCACTCCCAGCTGAATTCGAATGTCAACAACCTTTACATGCCATTACAGCACTGTCTAGCCTGATTAATTCTAAAATCACTAACAACAAAGACGAGGCTTTTGGGAGCTTCTCTGCACACTGTAGAACATTCCGCACATATCATTTGTGTTCCTGTTCGTCTTTATAAAACTATAATTGGCAAAATTTGTACATTCTTAAAAGTACAGTGTGTTTTGACATGTAAAATGATCACCACAGTGAACCTAACTCTCATATCCATCACTTCAGGTATTGGTGTGTGTGTATATGGTAAGAATACAAAGCCTACTATTCCTGTCTGATGTGATTCATAGAGTTAAAAAAATGTATGTATTAGTTGAGTCCTCTACCAAAATGAAAGTTTCTTTAGTATAAGAACTTGGTTTTAACTTTTTACTGTAACCCTCACTAAAACAATACTTAGCACTTGGAATGTTTTGCAAATTTTTTTTTTTTTAAAGAACTAATGAATGAACTAAGGAACAAACGTCAGTTGTTATGATGTCACTTCTATTAGGATCAATATGCTATGTAATATTCTCTATTTTTGATCACCCCACAAAAACAGTATGTTATGCAATTACAAATTTCCAGATAATCTCAACAATCACAATGGAAACAGAAAACAGCCTATCAAAATAACTGATCTCATTAATTAGTGAGTGGTGGTAGAACAACTAAAGGGTCTCTGTAGTCACTCTATTTCTATTACTATCCAGATAGACTATGTATCTCATTTTCTGGTTTTTTGCTTGTTTGGTGGTTTTTGGGAAAGGGTTTTTGCTATGTGGTCACAGTTATTTTTAAAATTTCATTAGTACATATTTGCAGTAAATAACAATTACATTCATCCTAGGGAGTTGGCTCATAACACATCTTAATTCTTTTTTTCATTCCCTTTCCCTCGAGGAGCTCCCTTAATCTCAGTGCCTCAAATTCTTCTTGATAATAATCATACTCATTGAATGGGGGCAGGGTCTCTGTATTAAATGAGATGCTACAGTAGAAATGCTTTCACACATAATACATGTTTTATAATTCTTATTATTTCAGAAATACATGGCCATCTTACTTAAGCAATTCAAAAAGACACAGACAAGAAGGAATCTAGAAATAGTTGTCAAAGAATAAAAACAATAGATGGATCTACAACTGTACTCTGCAACACAGTAGTCAGTAGCTACAATGGTGATTTAGCACTGCAAATGTGACTAGTCCAAGACATTTGTTCAAATTTAAAATACAATCTGGATTTTGAATTCCCACCACAGCAAAAACAAAACGTATTACTAAGTATTTTATATTGCTTCACTTTGGATACATAAAGTCAAATAAACCATTAAGTTAATTTTCATCAGTTACTTTTCATGGGTTTAAATATGGCTACCAGAAACTTTTAGATTACATAGCACTTGCATAAGAGTTCAGCTACACAGTACAATACAGGTATGTTTGTGATACTCATTTGTCCCTGGGCATCACAGAAGAGGGCTGTAACTCACCATGGAAAGAGGGAAGGCCTCATCCACAGTGGCAGGTTTCAATGTATATAAGCATAGGGTAAAGTTCTATGGTACTTAATGGTACTTAGAAATGTGGGAGAGAAACAAAACAAAAGTCAAATACAATCCTTGTACACAGTTATCCTTTCCTACCTGTGGGTTCCACATCTACAGTCAACCAAGTGAAGATAGGTAATATTCAAAGAAATAAATTGTGTCTATACTGAATATGGACAGAATTTTTCTTTGTCACTTTTCCCTAAGCAATAGGGTATAGCAACTATTTATATAGCACTTACATTGCAGTAGGTATTATAAGTAATTTAGAGATGATTTAAAGTGTACAGAAGGATATTTGGAGATTATATGCAAACAGTAAGCTACTATATTTTAGGAACTTCAGCATCTGTGGATTTGGTACCCATAAAGGGTTCTGGAATCAATTTCACAGGGTCACAGCAGGACAAATGTATTTGCATAGTGCTTTGCATTGTGAGAAAGTGAAATAAGTGTTATTATTCACCCCAGCTTCCAAACGCTACGGATTGGAAAACAAACAGAGGTTAAGGCATAAAAGCAGAGAGAACATATAACTAAGAGACTAACGTAGGTTTCTGCAATCCAAGTCCAGAGTTAGTACTGTATCACTACATTCCCCTTTGGTACTGGTAACACTCAGTTTGACTCTCTTCATTCACCTGCATCTTTAAAAAGAAAATCAAGTTAAGTGCTATGGATTTATTCAACAGAACTCTTTTTGTATCCTTAAATGCTGTGATAAATACTTAAGAAGGAAAACCAGCAAGGGCTATTAGTCATTATCTTCCAAATACCTACTTTAGAACCCTATTATTCATTGACAACATAGGTTTTATTCACCACTCAGAATAAAAGGAACCATGAAAATAGTTTTTAGTGACCCTAACCAGTAATATGAGCACATCAAAAACAAATGCAAATCAATTATCATAAACAGCAGCCTGAGTAGTCTCTGTTGTAACTCACAAATCAGAGACAACTATGGAGGAAGAAGTGAAAGGGAAACAAACCTCCTGAGCTGTTCTGAGAAGCTCACGTTGCAATCAAGACACATCTACTCCCAGCCTAGCCACTCATGAAAGACGGAGAAAAATCAAGAGGCTCTGCAAAGGAGTCTCCTAAGAGGTTAATGGAATAAAGCACAGAATGGGAAGACCAACACATGCTATGCCACCTTATAGGCCTATAACATATCAAAGTACTATCACGAGCCATCAAAGATTCTAGCTACTGTTTTCTTAAGAGTAATGCTAGTGGACTATGTCAAGGTAGTTAACCTGGTAACAAAAATATGATGAATAATTTAACAACTATTAGTAACAGTCAACACTTCTGGACCATTTACTATCTTATTAAGTACCTCTTTATATAGATTTTGCTAGTATCAAAGGTACCAGTGTGGTAATCTTTGCTTTCCAAATGAAGAATCTAATACTCAAAGAAGGTAGTGGTCCTATTCACTAGATTTGGTAGCAGAATCAGATAGACATATCTAGCATGCTTTTGTTTCTTACACTTGGAGACTTTTCTTGACCTCATGAAGTACTACTCTGTACATGAAGGTAAATACACAGTACCATCAAAGCCTAACAAAGCCAAGCACATAATTAAATCAGGTCACCCTTCCATCATTTTGTTTTGGGCCAATGGGCTTTTGCACAGACTATTCTTTCTATGTTGAATTACCTTCCATCTTTAGAATGTAACTTAGATGAAAACTATGAACTCTTTCTCCTGATGCTTTCCAGATCAAGTCATCTTATCTCCTGTGCCCCCTCTGCATCTCAGACATACATGTACCATTTGCTTATGTGGCATTCTCCTGACTAGAGTGCAGATTTCTAAACAGTGACCTGTTGTCTTTACACCTCCCACGTTAAATATGATGTTTGCAGAAGGAAATTCTGCTATAGCAGAAAGAAATTCATCATTCATTATTAATTTCCAGACCACTAACTTGTCATGATCATGGCGCAAAGTTTTTTGCAGTATATAACTGAGTAAGGAGGAGGGAGTAGACACAGTCTTAGAAGAGAATTTCAAGACAGCTGTCCAAATAATATGCTCATGGCCAGACATAGTGAGGTCTGAAGAAATAGCAAAAGATTTCTTTGTTGAGCTGCAGGATGAGTAGCTCTATTTTGCCGATGATGTTCTCGGGCAGGAAGAACTCTGTTGTCTCAGTACCATCTGCTATTTCAAGGCAAAGTTTTCTACGCTGAAGCCAAATTTGAGGAAACAGTGATTTTCTGTTTGTTACAAAGACTGGCAGCAGATATTCTTGTGCCTGTCTGAAAGTCAAACTGTATGCTGGCCAGGTTTATGATGGATGAGAAATGACTGCAAGGGAGGGGAAAGAGAAAGTCAAGGGGCTTAAAGAGGGAAAAAGAACAGCTAATGAGCCAAAGCCAAACATTACTGGTCTGCTTTGGTCTGTCCTCTAAGAAGGAGAGACATAGTAAACTTCAAAGCAAGACTACTATCTTCAAATGCCTACCTAAATATTTCTCTAACAATTAGTAAAATTCCAGTTGGCACACAAACAGAAAATTGAACTTCAATTACTTTGAAAATAATTTTTATTTAAATTC